CTAGATATCACGTCAGAAAAACTGTATGGTTTGGTTAGGTTTGGTTGGGTTTGGTTAGGACTTTGCCTCTCAGGTGAGATTTCTTCTCTCCCTCTCCACACTTGTCTGATCCACCATTTCCTCTCCTCCCCCACCCCCCCCTTCTCTAATCCTCCTCTACCTTCATTTACGTCTTCTTCTCCATTCCCTTTCCTCTACTACCTCTTCCTCATTCCCCCTCCCCAACCTCCTCCCCCTCTCCCCAACCTCCAGGGTGATCAGATTTTGTCTTACACCAAGAGAACCTTTAGCTGAAGCATTGACGAATTTTACGACAGCGTGCCCTACTAGTCTCTCTCTCTCTCTCTCTCTCTCTCTCACACACACACACACACACACACACACACACACACACACACACACACATTGACATTGACATTACCCCTCTCCTTCCTTCTTTCTCTTTTCTCTCCTCCTCTTCTGTGTTTCTTGAAAGCTTTCCTCCCTCAGGCTTTCCCCTCGTTCTCTCCATCCCCCTCATTACTCCTTCTCCCTTGTTCCTTCCCCTCTACTCCCTCCTCCCCCACTCCCCTGAACAGGTATGTATATAACAGTTAGTGGAGGCTTTAAACGACCTGGTCCTGCGCTGGATAGATGATAAAGGCAAATTTATGAGCTCCTTTTTCCTACTCTGTGTCACGTGACGTTACACAGAGAGGAGAGAGAGAGAGAGAGAGAGGAGAGAGAGAGAGAGAGAGAGAGAGAGAGAGAGAGAGGAGAGAGAGAGAGAGAGAAGGAGAGAGAGAGAGAGAGAGAGAGAGAGAGAGAGAGAGAGAGAGAGAGAGAGAGAGAGAGAGGATGTCACGAAGGGGAGGGGGGGAAAGAGGGAAGGAGAGGACAGTCTGGAAAGGGTGGTTGTGAGTCATCAAGGTAGAGAAGGAGTGCAAAAAAGGAGGAGAGAGGGAATGAGGGAGAAAAGATGAGGGAAGGAAGGAAGGAAGAAGGAGGGAAGAAGGAAGGACAGGAGTGAGAAAGGAGAGAGAGGAGGGAGGTAGAGAGAGACGGACGTAGGGAGGGAGGGAGGGCGAGAGGGAGGGACGGAGGGAGAGAAAGGAAGTGAGAGAGGGAGATGGAACTCTATTTACCTTGTCGAGAAGCCGAGGTAAAATATGTGGGCAGGTAGGGACAAAGGCAGGTGTCAGGAGGGAGAAAAGTGGGTGTCAGGAGGCGGGAAAGGGGGTGTCAGGAGGGCGGGGAAGGGGGTGTCAGGAGGACGGGAAAAGAGTGTCAGGGGGAGGGAAAGGTGTCAGGAGGGGGGGTGAGTGTCAGGAGGGACGGAAAAGAGTGTCAGGGGGAGGGAAAGGTGTCAGGAGGGGGGGTGAGTGTCAGGAGGGCGGAAAAAGGGTGTCAAGGGGGCGGAAAAGACGTCATAATTAAGGAAGAGGAAGTCGGTGTCAGGAGGGAGAGGAGGGTGTCAGGAGGGAATGAAGAGGGTGTCAGAAGGGAGGGAAAGAACGTGTCAGGAGAAGTCAGGATGTCAAAAGTAGGAGAAAAAGGGGAAGGAGGAAGAGTGTCAGGAATAAGAGGAAAATGGGGAAGAAAGGTAGGAGGAAGAGGAGGAGGAAGAGAAGAAGAAAGGAGAGGTAAGACCTTCCTACCTTGCTTGAGAGGTGAGGTGAAATGTATCTTTTGGAGGAGGGAGATGAGGAAGGTCGGAGGTGAGGGTGGAGGGAGGGAGGAAGGAGAGAGAGAGAGAGAGAGAGAGAGAGAGAGAGAGAGAGAGAGAGAGAGAGAGAGAGAGAGAGAGAGAGAGAGAGAGAGAGAGAGAGGACAATGACAAGCGAGCCAATATCTTCAGGGGCTGTTTTTCTTTGTTGAGTAAGAGGCGGTGATGAGGAGTGACTGAGAGAAGTGAGGAGAGGGTTAAACAGAGTGTGTGTGTGTGTGTGTGTGTGTGTGTGTGTGTGTTTGTTCGTCGGTGCCCTCATGTGATCACTGCAGTTTCTTGTTCCAGTACACACACACACACACACACTATAGGCCTGCCATGGGGTGGAACAGCTGGGTCTCCTTTAAGGTGTACCCGGCAGAGAGCATTTTCATGCCTTCACGGCGCAACACTGGCTAAGACTTCCTGAGATGCTCGCTGAGTGAGTTGACGTTATCCCTGCTTCGGGAGTTGACGTTATCCCTGCTTCGGGCCCTCACGAGCCTTACCCTCCTCCCTCTCTCCCTGCACTCATCTCCCCTACTTCCCCCACCTCTACCTCACACCTATCCTTACCCGGTTTCATGACTATTGCTTACCTTCGCAAGCTTATCTTCGGGAGGTGTGTCAAGGAGAGAGAGAGAGAGAGAGAGAGAGAGAGAGTTACTGATATGCTTGCCGTGATTAAATAAAATGACACATACACACACACTATCTTTTCATCTAAGATATCTACCTCTCTCCCTCTCCCTTCGCCATTTTTAATTAAACTTTAGTCATACTTAAACTCGTTATTAATGGTACTTCTTCCCGCCACTTCTATACCTTCCTCTAAGTAATTATTTAGGAAAAAGTTTTAACAATAGCGACTATCATCACCTGTTAAGAAGAGTAGGTTAGGTTTGGTTAGGTTAGGTTAGGTTTGGTAAGGTAAGGTTAGGTTTGGTTAGGTTTGGTTAGGTTAGGTTTGGTTAGGTTAGGTTTGGTTAGGTTTGGTTAGGTTTGGTTAGGTTAGGTTTGGTTTGGTTTGGTTAGGTTAGGTTAGGTTAGGTTAGGTTAGGTTAGGTTAGGTTAGGTGAAGCTTGAAGGAGGATTATTTTTAAGTATATATATTTTGACGCCACACCCCCTCCCCCCCATCCTTCCTTCCTTTCCCTCCAAACATCTATTTTTTATCTCTATAGGTGCGTCTGCTAGCACTATGTATACCTTCCTTGGATAGACTTACCTGCCCAATGGTCGACTGATTTACTGACTGACTTACTGACCGAGAGAAATTTTTCACAGGTTCATATTAACGCAGCTTTTGACCATATCTGTCTGTCTCCCGCCTCTGCCTGCCTCAACCTGGCCTCATCTGCCTGAAACCCTGCCCCATCTCGCTCCTGCTCCCTGGCCCCTGCCCTGCCTCTGCCCTGCTCCACCTCCCACTCCACCCCGCCCGCCCCGTTCCCCGCCCCGCCCCGCCTCCAGTCTCAAGTTCTGCCCTATTCTTCCCCTTACAGGAAAGACGAAGAATATCAGAGTATCATCATTACAGAGGAGGAGGAGGACAAAAAATAATAAGTAGTTAAATAACGAACGAGAGAGAGAGAGAGAGAGAGAGAGAGAAATCTGAGAAAATACACAGAAGGGAGGGAGGGGAGGAATGACGTCACGAGTATATTACGACCTGGGGGGGGGGAAGCTATGTGGAACACGTCTTGATCATGTTGAGTCCCAGTTTAAAGTCGATACCATATTTTTTTTTTTTACCACGTACTGTAAGCCAAGGAATACTCAAGAGTTATGATTGAACCAAACGATACACTTTTTAATACAATCTCACATCTTCAATTAAGGTGTAAACTCAACTTACGAACTTTTTAAGAATTCAAATTAAATACCATAGCTTAAAATGAGACGGTTAGATCAAAAAAAATTCCACTTATGAAGAAAAATCCAACTTATGAACTTTAGAAGAATCCAATTTTATACAGTAGCTCAGGTAAGTCGGTTTGATGGGAGCTCACATCACCTTCAACCAGAGAGAAGGACTTTTACGGAGGACCTTAGGAGTCTCCGAGCGAGGGTGATCCATTATCTCCAACGGCGCCTAATACTCACACCCAGAGATAAGGGCCCACTTAATTACTTATTTATGCTGTCATAAACTAATAAAGTCAGGCTCTGTAGGAAGTGGTGCTTGGAGGAGGAGGGGGGGGAAGGAGAGGGGAGGAGAGGAGGAAGGGAAGGGAGGAGAGGATGAAAGGAGGGGAGGGAAGGGGGGTAGCAGAAGAAGTAGAAAAGGGGAGGGGATGGATGAGGAAGAGATGGATAAGGGGAATGAATAAGAAGTGAGAGGTTGTGAAGAGAGGAATGGGGCGATAGGGGAGAGGTGAGGAAAAGGGGAGAATGGATGAGTGAGGAGAACATGCTGATTAGGTGATGAGGAGACGGAGGAAGAGAACAGGAGACAAAGAAAAAGAAGAAGAAGAAGAAGAAGAAGAAGAAGAAGAAGAAGAAGAAGAAGAATGACTAGAAGGAAGAAGAAGGAACAGGAGAAGGAGGATTAAGGAAAATAGTTGGATACATGAGCATCCTCAACCACTGAACACAACAACACGTCAACAGTATACATACCGATATACATAAAAATATACATAAACACTAAGATATAAATACCACAATGTATATATGCCATTCGGAAACATTCTAGAAGCAAAATTCACTTAAATAATAATAAAAATTAAAACCTGTAGTTGGTAAATCTTAAGGATTATGTTATCAGAGACGCCATAATCCAACCAAGATAGTCAGACAAGCCACTATGGTTAGACAAGCCACTATGGTTAGACTAGGTGATATTACGGCTACATATATCGATTAGCTATTAGTTAAGTCAGCCATGTTACTTAGTTAGTTAAAGGGACCAATACAGTCAAGCCATCCACAAGAACCTTTTATTTTGTTAATCAAGCCATCCTGTGGTACTCAGAGAGACCTTTAGAAATCAAGCCATCCAAATTAGTTGTCACATAACCAAGAGAATCAAGCCAGCCATTGATAATCAGCCATTCACGGGAATCAGCACAAACCATTAGAATCAAAGCAATCCATGGTTGTCGAGCCACTCATGGTAGTCAAAAAAAAATACAATAATGGTATCAAGCCATCCAAATTAGTTGTCATATAACCAAGAGAATCAAGCCAGCCATTGTTAGTGAGACAGACCATGTTAACGGTGGCAGCCAAGCCGGGAGGGAATAGAGGGAGGGAGAGGAAAGAGGGAGGCGGCCAGGTATGTTAGTAAACAATGTAGTGAGGAACCTACGTGTGGGAGGAGCCAGGTGGAGGAGCTGAAAGGTGGCCCCTATGTGGTCTGGAAAGTAACGGTAATAACAACCTTTTATGATGCGGTCACCACATAGTTAATAGCCTCTACCTAACATCAACATAGTACCTGTGTCTATGATGCGGTCACCACATAGTTAATAGCCTCTACCTAACATCAACATAGTACCTGTGTCTATGATGCGGTCACCACATAGTTAATAGCCTCTACCTAACATCAACATAGTACCTGTGTCTATGATGCGGTCACCACATAGTTAATAGCTTCTACCTAACATCAACATAGTACCTGTGTCTATGATGCGGTCACCACATAGTTAATAGCCTCTACCTAACATCAACATAGTACCTGTGTCTATGATGCGGTCACCACATAGTTAATAGCCTCTACCTAACATCAACATAGTACCTGTGTCTATGATGCGGTCACCACATAGTTAATAGCCTCTACCTAACATCAACATAGTACTAGTATTACCTACCTGTACCATCTACCTGTACAAGTTGAGGTGTGTTATGAACTTTGGCACCTGTAATAAGGCTTCTCTGATGAAGTCAACAATGGCAGGTGTATAGCACAGATCAATGCATGAGAGTTAATGAGGGTCAACTGCAGATATAGACATGTGGCACAGAAACACACCTGTACAGTATATCCACGTGACACAGAAACACACCTGTACAGTATATCCACGTGACACAGAAACACACCTGTACAGTATATCCACGTGACACAGAAACACACCTGTACAGTATATCCATGTGACACAGAAACACACCTGTACAGTATATCCACGTGACACAGAAACACACCTGTACAGTATATCCACGTGGCACAGAAACACACCTGTACAGTATATCCACGTGACACAGAAACACACCTGTACAGTATATCCACGTGACACAGAAACACACCTGTACAGTATATCCACGTGACACAGAAACACACCTGTACAGTATATCCATGTGACACAGAAATACACCTGTACAGTATATCCATGTGACACAGAAACACACCTGTACAGTATATCCATGTGACACAGAAACACACCTGTACAGTATATCCACGTGACACAGAAACACACCTGTACAGTATACCCATGTGACACAGAAACACACCTGTACAGTATACCCATGTGACACAGAAACACACCTGTACAGTATACCCACGTGACACAGAAACACACCTGTACAGTATACCCACGTGACACAGAAATACACCTGTTGTTCAACCTTAAGCTAAGATAATAAAGTTTACATTGTTCATAAATTATAATAACAACAATTTAAAGGTCAAGAACTAACATAAATTCTCCCAATATATTTTTAACAAACACTGAGTTAATTTTTTCTTTACTAACATAAAAAAAATCGTTCGACATTTATGAGAAAAAATTGCCACATTATATGGGAAAAAATACGAAATAATCTGAAAACAAAAACAAAAAAACAAATTGAAACAAACAAATATTAAATGAATATAAAGAAAAATAATGAGCTGATATTAATGGCTGCAAAACTTAACAAAATATATATAGTGTATTTGTCAATCTACCTGTATGTCTATGTGTCTATATTCTATCTACGTATGTCTATCTCTCTGTCTACCTGTGTCCATATGCCTTACTCTATCTACCTATCTATCTATCTATCTATCTATCTTCAGACACCAATAAAAGGGTTAGAAAATATCAAGAGAGAAATATTATTCACAAGAAATTAAAAGTGAAATAAAATCACCCCCATAGTTCATTCAGAGTATTGGCTGAGGGTTGGCGACTACAGCCCTCTACTCCACTGTCTGAGGGTTGGCGACCACTGCCCTCCACTCCCACACTTTGTATACCTCGTAAGGAACTGCAGAGAGAGAGAGTTAAAGAGGATGGGGGAAAAAAGAAAAAAAGGGAGAAAAAAAAGGGGGAGGGAATAAGGACTACAACCACCCCCATCCCCCTCCACCCTACCATTGCTGGTTCACACTCCCTTTCACAATTCCCCCCTCTCCCCTCCCTCCTTGCGCCATACCTATCCTCAGCGTGTGCCTCCCTTCCCCCATTCCCCTTGCATCCCCTCCTTCAGCGTTCCCCCCTCCCCACCCCTCCCCTCCCCTGGCAACCCCACCCCTCAGCTGTCTCCCCCTACCCCCCCCCCTCAGCGCCAATCATCATAACACAAGTCTCAAAACAAAACATTCATTACGCCAGGGGTGTAGTCGGCCGTTCATGAAGGAACGCCAACTAGCTACTCGTCACGTTCCTGCGGGGCGTGAGGAACGTGTGTACTCTACTGGGGGAGATGGAGGTGATGAGGAACGGCAGGCACTCCCCCACGTTCTTCCTGGAGCGTGAGGATCGTGCATGAGTGAAGGGGGGGGGGGTTATGAAGGGTGAATGAACGACAGTACGTTTAATTGGAAGTGATGACCTCGCCAACGTTAACCTCGCCTAATATAACCTCGCCAAATATAACCTCGCCAAATATAACCTCGCCACAGATGATCTCGCCACAATGACCTCGCTCCATAGATGACCTCACCACCACAAGACGACTTCAGAACACCTGCCGTAGTACTACCCTCGCCGAGGACCTTCGTACTATACTCTCAGGTGAAGAGGCGACCTGGTACTAGTGATGGTGGTGGTGGTGGTAGTGGTAGTGGTGGTAGTAGTGGTGGTGGTGGTGGTGGTGGTGGTGGTTGAGGTAATGGTGTTATTGGTGTGGGTAATAGAGTTGAATGACACAGGTGTGGCGGGGACACAGGTGTGGCGGGGCAGGTGGCCGCTAATCGATCGCCAACGTCACACTATGGGGGAATTAAGCTTCATGCTGTGTGATTATTAGCACTGTCTCTCTCTGTCTGTCTGCCTCTCTATCTGTCTGCCTCTCTATCTGTCTGCCTCTCTGTCTTTCTGCCTCTGTCTGTCTGTCTATAAAAGAGTAACCTAACCTAACCTACTCAGGACCTACATAATCTTAACTATTCTAAATCAGATATAGTGCAAGTTATAAAAAAACGGCATAAATTAACAACAGAGACAGAGAGAGATAACAGGAGACAGGCGGAAACAGACAGGGAGATATAGAGACAGACAGGGAGATATAGAGACAGACAGGGAGATATAGAGACAGACAGGGAGATATAGAGACAGACAGGGAGATATAGAGACAGACAGGGGGAGAATATGAAGACGAACAGGGAGATATAGACAGACAGGGAGATATAGACAGACAGGGAGATATGGAGACAGACAGGGAGATATAGGGGAGACAGACAGGGAGATATAGAGACAGAACAGACAGGGAGATATAGAGACAGACAGGGAGATATAGAGACAGACAGGGAGATATAGAGACAGACAGGGAGATATAGAGACAGACAGGGAGATATAGAGACAGACAGGGAGATATAGAGACAGACAGACAGGAGATATAGAGACAGACAGGGAGATATAGAGACAGACAGGGAGATATAGAGACAGAACGAGGAGATATGAGACAGACAGGGAGATATAAAGGCAGACAGAGATATAGAGACAGACAGGGAGATATAGAGAAACAGACAGGGAGATATAGAGACAGACAGGGGAGATAGAGACAGAGACAGGGAGATATAGAGACAGACAGGGAGATATAGAGACAGACAGGGAGATATAGAGACAGACAGGGAGATATAGAGACAGACAGGGAGATATAGAGACAGACAGGGAGATATAGAGACAGACAGGGAGATATAGAGACAGACAGGGAGATATATAGAGACAGACAGGGAGATATAGAGACAGACAGAGAGAGATAGAGACAGAGAGACAAAACATAAATTCTCTAACCTCTCCATGAATCTGTAAACAACAACACATGTTAAGGAAAAACCAAACCCAGAAGGTCAATAAATCTTCAGTGTCCTCTACCTGGACGGCTACAAACCAGGAGTTGTGTGATGGGATCTGCCCTAGAGACCACAGCCACAACATGATTCTTATAGAGTCTAGCTGGTGTTTGATTAAGATAGATGGTGCTAGAGAAGAACTGACCCTACTACTACTTCACCATCTCTATCTCTATCTCTTCTACCTATTCTTCCTTTATCTCTTCTTCCTCTTCCTTATCCTTCTTCACATTTTCTTCTTCCTTCACCACCTCCTCCATCTCTCATCCAGTTACCCCTCGCAACAGTATCCCGTTTTTTGTTGTATCTCTCTCTCTCTCTCTCTCTCTCTCTCTCTCTCTCTCTCTCTCTCTCTCTAGATTATTGTGGACAGAAATATGTTTTGCTTGTCCATTCATAAATCCTAGCTTTGTTCACACACACACACACACACACACACACACACACACACACACACACACACACACACACACACACACACACCACTAGTACATCGAAACCCCTATAAAAAATATATATATAGGAGGAGAAACTAGTGAAGAAACTGGCTTGCATGGGTGACTACTACAAATGATCCCTGAAGGTGATCTTGGAGACGAGGAGAAAGATATAGGTTTGGGGGTGTTGGATCAGGCATTGTGTGAGGGCTGTGACATCTCAGGGGGGTTATAGGGACGAATGGGACGCCACCCATAGTCAACACTTATATGTTCAATAGAAAGCTGAGGTGAAGGAGTAAATCTTGTTGAATAGGAGGAGAGGGGAGGGGAAAGACCAGAGGGTGGGGTGGGGTGGGGTGGGGTGGGGGAGTGGGTGGGTGGGTGGGGTGGGGAGGGGTGGAGAGGTACAGCATCGACCTTGGTGTAGGACGAGGATAAACGAGAATAAATAAAATGAATGGAGAAGAGTTAGAGAAGGATTAAGAAGGAAGGAGGAGGCGATAAAGGAAACGGAGTATTGTGAAGGAAAGAGAGACAAGAAAATGAGATGGATTGGAAGAAATGAGATGAGGATGTTAGGAAGAGGACATAGAAGGAAAGGGGAAGAATGGGATAAAAAAAGAACTAGATGGGAAAGATGGAAAAGGGGAAAAAGGGCAACCAGTCTCTCTCTCTCTCTCTCTCTCCCAGTATAAAACTATC